CTGTGCATCACATGGGGAGGAGTTTGGTGGTTGGTGGCATGGTATGTTTCGAGAATGATGAGGACGCGCAATAATTGCCGCTTGATTTCATACGCCTTTGATGGGAACAGAACTGGCGATGTTATCTTAATGTTCCTTGTCACGGTGGGTGGAGGGTAGCAGAATTCGTGGAGTTATTGCAGCCCACGTCGATCTTTTGCTTTAGGTAATTACAGTGATAATGCATTTACTATTTAGTCCTCTTGCTTCGACCAGTGATGGGTCCCACTCTACGAGGCGGTTAGTGTTCTCCACGTTGAACGGCTAGTATGTAAAGATGACAGCAGTCGTGGTGTGTTTCGTCCTGGCGCCAACCGACCCATCTACCCCTCCAATGATAGGAGACAGATGTGGGACCCATACGACATTTAGCGAAGGGACGTAACGTCAAGGGCGGTGTTCTGGTGGTGGGTGAGTTTGGTCAAAAAAAAGAAAATAAAGGACGTCTGCTACATCGTGTATCGCGAAGAAACTAGAAGGTTCGGGTGAACACTTTTTTGGTACGTCACCTCAAAAAATGTGACATCCAATATTGGCTCTCCCGTGAATGACATGTCCTCGTCGGATTTATTCTACGACGACTGTAATTACCATTAATATCTAATAATAATATTTTATTTACTTGTACGTTATTAGCATTTAAAAAAATATAATTACATTATCTTTTATGGAAAAAAAAGATAAGATAGTAAAATACATAACATTACATTAAGATGGACCCTAAATCATTTGTTAGGGATAAAATATCAGCATAGAAAATTTAGAATATTATTTTTCTCCTATATTTATTATTGATTTTGATTGTCTTAAAGTTTCATAATCGAATTTAATTTTTTATAGGGCTTGTCATAAGTTTGATATTAAAAGATGATTAGGTTTCGGCATGGGTCATGCAAAACACATTTGGGGTTTACATCAACAAAGGTCACTTTGATATGATATATAAGTTAGCATTGAGAACTTAAGAGATTATGAGATTTGGATAGTTTAGATTAAATAGAGTTTCTCTCATGTAAAGTAGGTTTTAGTAACCGGTGAATGTAAGAGAAAATTAATTTATGAGATTGATTATGTGAAATCTTCGATTGATTATGTGAAATCTTCTCGTGTTATTCGGACAAGAAGAGTCGATTGAATCATTATGATTGGCTAACGTATTGAATTAAGAAAACATTTGTATAGGTGTAAAGTTACGAGAAATATAATATTTGAATATCCAGATATTAAAGCTCCTTATCAATATCTAATATCTAAAAACATTAAAATTACATATCCTCGTTCGATTAATTCTATAATAAATGTAATTACCACTAATCCTTGAAGAATAATATTTTGTTTACTTGTAAGTTATTAGTATTTGAGAAAATTTACAGTTACATAACTTTTTATGGACCAAAGAAATAGATAAGATAGTAAATCATCACCATAACATTCATTATCTTAAGATGGACCCTAAATCATTCGGGGATAAAATATAAGTATTCAAAATCTAGAACATTACTTTTCTCCTTGGTTTGTTTTGTATTTATTATTGATTTTGATTGTCTTGAAGTTTGAGAATCAATTTTAATTTTGTTTAGGACTTGTAGTTTGATGGTGAAAGATGACTAAGTTGGGCATGGGTCATGCAAAATATATTGGGGGTATGTATAAACAAAGATACTATGATCCGATATATAAGTTTGAATTAAGAATTTAAGAGATTATGAGTTTGGATAACTAATAATTAAATAGAGTTTATCTCATGTAGAGTAACTTGTATAATTACCCATATCTAATTAAATCCCCTTATTAATATCTAATTACCTATTTATCTCATTTTATTTGGAAAATATTCAATATATATTAGTTTATTCTAATATCACGTCATATTTGAGTTATATTAGGCTTGACATATACACTTGAATCAAGTTCATAATGGTCCAAGCCAAAGAAATGAAATAGATATTACATAAATGACATATAGTTGGTGGGCCCTTCCCACCCATTTGATGGTGCCCTAACTATAATCCATTATTGTTCATAAAGAACAAACCAATGCGATGGAATGCAATCAACGCTAATAGTGCAATAGGACGCAAGAGAGGCAAAATTATGTCGCATTCTTCTCATTCTCTTTCTAAAGACTCTTTAGAGACTTCCTTTAGGACGACAGCTTCCGCACTCAGTGCCAAACATGTTGTTGTCTACAATATTATGCATCAAAATTTGTACCCTCTCTCTCTCTCTCTCACCACATGAACCATTTTAGATTTGGCATGTGGAAATGTACTGAGGATGGCAAGTAATATGCTAAGTTCCAGCTGATGGATTCAAGACATGGATGCACGATTACAGATCTGTTGTGGAAGCTATGAATACAAGCTTCTCTCACTCAAAACATACCTCAAAGTAGTGTCCATCATGAATCTCCTTAGCTCACAGTCTTCTTCAAGTCCACCTTACAGTGCAGAAGTGGGGACTGACCGTTCCTCCTTACCTGTACCCACAGTGCCAACCTCCCTAGCTCCACCCAATCTCTCGGCCCCACATCTCTTCTCCTCGAGGGATCCACCCCATTCCAAAGCATTTTCGTACGCTAATTACATATTATCTTTTATAGTTAGTTATCCTTTATATTTTGATCTTTATATTTTTAAAATATTATATTATTTTTATATTATTATAAAGATAAAAATATTTATATTTATTTATCCCGATGTTATTAATTTTATTAATAAAAATAAAAAGATAAATAAATAATTTAATATTCTAATCGGTGATGGCGAACGATGTCAATGGTAACAAACAACGTTAGTGGTGGTGGACGATGATGTCATTGAAGGCCACGGGTGACTATTATGGTAAGGAGAGCGACGATAAGAGATGAGAGTCATTTTGCATTTGCGCTTATACTGACGCAATTGTCGAGCAGTTCTTTTATCATTCTACATTTACATTAATATTGATGTAATTGTCAAGCGATGAAAGAGCCACTGATGCAAATGTCAAGCGGCACTGCTCGACAACTGCATTGATGCTCTCTGTATCTACAGAGTAGCCCTCACGTCTCATTGCATCTCTTATCGACAATAGCCACCCACAACTCCTAGCGATATTGCTATCCATCACCACAAACTGTAATATTAAAATTATATTTTTATTCATTGTTTTCATATTTTCATTAGTAAAACTGATATCATTAGGGAAATGGACATTTATATTTTACTTTTGTAGTTATATGGATGTCAATATAATTTTTTAAAACACAGATCAAAATACTAAAGGTAATTAACTATGAATAATTTAAAATTAACTCGTGCTTCTTCTCATAACTTTTTTTAATATTTAAATATTTATTTTTTAGTAGTGTTTAATGTTTAATATTTTTTAATCGATTCAAAATCAAATTAGAATATTTAGTTCCGATTCCAATGGAATAGACCCGAAACTTAAGCGTCTAGTGTCAGTTTCGATTGGGTTCGAAACCATGAAATCATTGTTTGATAATTCGATTGTGAGGGCTATCCATCTTTCTCCATGCAACCACGAAATCATTCCATCTTTCTCTTTACATTTTTTGATGCTCTTTCCTCTTCTACAAAATTTCAGCAGTGGCGTCCCATCTAAACCATCATAAGGTTGGAACATGATTTGTCAAATTTCATAGACATACGAAATTTGAGTTATTACATCATTTATAATTTCTCATTTTCTTTCTTTTTGTAAGAAGATGTTATATATGCTAACTTTCCAACCGTCAAATATGCACATTATGAAGTTTGTTGAATTGATTAACGAATATGAATTCATATTAATTTTGTGATTGGAGTTTGATGTGGAAAGTTTGATATATGCGATATGCTATTATTATTTTTTGTTTTACAAATGACAGAGATGCATAAGAACATGATCAACATGTCTCAAATGATAGGCCACCGACATGATCATAGGCCAATCATCATTGATAATAGATACAATAATATATATATATTCATGTTTTTATAAATATAAAAAAATTCAATATACTTATTTAGAATAAAACAATCACGGTATTCTTCTTATTTTCCTACTTATTCCAAAAGCATAATAAGAGAATGTGAGTTTTCTTTTACCAATTAGGGTTCTTCCCTTACCGTCCCATGGCGATGATCTATAGGGTTAATAACTGCTACTCTTTCTATAGCATATTTACTCAACTTCAAGCCTGAAGTTTGATAGAATTGATTCGATCTATTTATCTTTAATATGTCCCCCCATAATGACAAAAATATGCATCTCATTTATTGCTTGAGGTTGGTGTGGCATGACCAGACAACAAAAATAATACAAAAGTCTTTCACATGACAGCAGATCGAATTACACATTAATCCATATTGGTGAGCAAAAAGTGCATCATATATACAATGCTTCAGATCAGAAGGAATAATTACATGGCTCTAACATGAATGATTCATATATATATCTACACCTCAGGTCAAGAGGAGCTCCACAACCAGAAGAAACTACACTATGTAATCCTTTTAATATGCAATCATGCAGTACAAATATTGAGGACTGTATATATATATATATATATCAGTTTCAATGGTCCTGGAAGCTTGTGCTTCAAGCAATGATCATATGTTTCCAGTTCTGGCCTAACTGCATCAGACACAAGGATTCAAGTCAATGAAACCATAGAAAAAGCTGCATGGATTGTGAGTCCTCCCATGGATTCAAATTGGAACTCAATTTAGGTTTGATTACTGAGTGGTTTTTAACCAGTTGTTGAATGTTGTACACCAAACTGTCCATCTCCTGCATCAGTGTCAGTCGGCAGATGGTAAGTAACTCCAATGAACCATGCAGTATCTCATCATCGAGACTGTACTACTATGTAGCAGGTGAGATTATGAACTCAAGCTGAGGGTCTCAGTAGATTCTAATGCTATATATGTTTGGCCTACCTCTAGGAAATTGTTGTCTCATATTTCATTACCATGGCTCGTCCTCTCTCACTAAAGCACCCATGTTTTGCCCTTGTGTTGCTTTATATAGCTTCTTCCTGCTGTGAAGGTATGTGAGTTTGCTCATATCCGTGGGTTTATGTAGGAGAAACCCTAACTTGCTCTTCTCAAAATCATGCATGCAGCACAGGATGCCATCCAGATTGTTGCAAGAGCTGCTCTTTGTTTCGATAACCGAACTGTAAGTGAGCTCGTAACTCATGAGAAATCCTTCGTGAGATTAATTATCGGAGATTGCAGGTCATCGACAACTGCCTGACATCAATGGGAATAAGCACCAATGGAACTGCGAACGCAACGTCGAATTCATCCACACCTGTGCCTCAACAGGACAACGCCACCGCCAGCTTCTGCAGCTCCCCATGCTTAGGCGAAATGATGCTTATGACCAGCTGCTTTGATGGCATAATGTCCAGCTTCGGATTCTACAGGCCGGGACTGATGCAAGGAGTGCAAGCCGTATTTCAAATGGCGTGCAGTGGTGGAGGAGGAAATGGCAGCAGCAACGCCACTCTGAGTCGTGTTGCTTATGGAGGTGAGAGTCCCATCCCCATGTCCAAGTTTGGTGTGCAACGGTGTGACTTCGGTGCGGCAGATGAGGACAGAACGATGTCTACCAAACAGTTCGATGAACAGATTCACCTATTAGAATTAGAACTTGTTAGGTTTACATGGCGCAGTGATGTGTGCTCATCGTCATAAGTCTTTGACTTCTCTGATCTGTCTTATTCACTGTGCAGGTGATGTGATGGGAGAGGCAAACGTTGGAGGTGTGCTGCTTGTGCCAGCATTCATGTCACTTCTCATGCCTGTGCTCTTCATCTCCTTTTACTTAGCATGAAGAGAGACCACAAGTTGCAATCTTAGTTCTTAGCTTGTTTACATGTGTGTCAATCTACAATATATATGGCTTTTTGTTGTTCTTCCTTTGTTGCTCTTTTACTTAGGCATCACACGTACTGAAGAAATCAGTTGGCTTTAAGGAGATTTCTTTGGGTGTTTTTAGCGGTATTGAGACTAAGTCTCAAACCAATAATTCAAAATAAAAGAATGAAAGAAGAGAAGTAATTATGCGAGGGTGCTAAAGATTACATGAATAATGAATCACATAGATTAATTGAATAAAAAATGAAAATAAGAACAGGTTTTGTGTAACCCAAATCCGAAAATAGATAATTACAATATGATAATAATATATAATGTTAACAATGCTTATAAGAACTTTCTTAATAAGTAATTCCAGTTATGACGAGTTTAAACATGCACTAATTTGGTAACGGACGAATTCTTGCTAAAATCTTCTTTGAAAAACATGTTTACTTTATTAGTAATTTAAATTAGGATAAAGTAAAAATATTTCTTTTTTTATGTAATTTATACTTTTGATTTTCGCATATATATATATATACATATACATATACATATACATATGTTATCATCTGATCCATACCAGCACAATAATTTTAATATTGCATCATCTTCTTCTTTGCATCGAGTCATCTTCTCCACCTAATCTAAAATAGCGATGCTATGAGACCTTTGTTGGGCGAAAGATTTGTCATTGATATGCTACTGTGCTACTGTGAAGCAAGCAGAGATGTCATATCGGGTGATGGAAGGAGGATGCGATTGACCTACTATAGGGCTGCGGGCAAGTTAGCTTCATGTTAGAGATGTTTGCATCGATAAAGGATGCATCGATCATTAGGATATTTTTTTTTATCGAAAAGTACATATCAAACAACTAAGATTCTCTTATCCATGATGGATGGACGCAATTACATTTTTTATAAAAAATGTATCAAACAGTTTAGATGCTCGGTTAAAGATGCTTATATTCATGAAGGATACATTGATTACTAGAATGCTTTTTATCCATGGATGACATATCAGACACTTTCTATACTCTCATCCGTGAAGGATGCATCACATGTTAAATATATTTATGTTTGATAAGGACATATCTATTGTTAGTAGAAAAAGCATTAGACACTTGAGATGCTTTTGTCTACAAAGGATGTATTGCACATTAAAAATGTTATATTTGGGAAGGATACATCAAACGTTACGATGCTTTTGTCTATAATAGGTGCATCAAATGCTTTAAATGCTTTTATTTGTAAAGGATGCATCATGCATCAAAGACACCTATGCCTATGAAGGATGCATCAGATGTTAGGATGCTTTAGCTATGTTATAGGTTGAGGCGGGAGTGCTCTTGCTAGAGCGCCCGTTGAGTAGGTTGATGGAATGATGTGCCTGCAACATGGGTTCTCCATTTAGTACTAAAATAATATATATGATATTAGTGATGTTTGGATCAACTTGAGTCGATTCAAGCTACATGTACAAGAAGTTTTATGCGGTCAAAAGCTTAACACTCATCACTAAGTGGCTTTATATGAAGATCGAGATTAAATGAATTTTTTTATGTGATCTTTTCAATACTCAAGTTAATAGTAGAATAAAATAAATATTTTTTTTATAAATAATCACTCACCTTGATTATTATGATCCCGTTGCTTTTCATAATGAGTTTAACAAGAAAAATATTCTATGGTACAAGTGGAATATTCTCTTGGCCTTTTATTTTGAGTTGATATTTGGATGGCTCGACTAGAGCTATTTTCTCTTTGCGTCATCACATGTTAAGCTTAATTGAGACGAATATTTCTCTATCTATCAACTCTAATAATAGAGAATAAACGGTTCAACAGTGTGATCAACTTCATAACTTGATAATAATCTTGACGACATGATCAAATAGATGATACAATTGACTTCAAAAAAGTAGTTGACTTTACCACTAGACCAAGCTGAGTTATTTGTGTTACACTCCGAAGATGATGATTCCTCACGTTAGGCTAAACCAAAAAGTAAATATATATAACCCCACGAGAAACCCACTACAAAGTTCTACACTTGCAGATTCTCCTGACAAAAGTTCCAATAAAAGGTACAAATCTTATTACAAATTCATCATCAAAAGGAAGACTTTTTGTTGAAATTTCTCCCAGATTAGGAACATAAAAAAAATTTTAGACCACTTTGGAACAGCAACAGCTCGGTATCATCAGGATAAACTGTAAACCAGAACAAAAGCAGCGAAATAAATTTAGAGCCTGCTTTTCTTGAGAGGTCCCATTGCCTTGGCCTTCGTCCTCAATTCATGCTTCTTGATCTTCCCCGTAGCTGTCTTGGGCAACGGCCCGAACACCACAGATTTGGGGACCCAATACGCCGGCATCTTTGCACGGCCGAACTTTATGATATCCTCTGCTAGTGCCTGCTCATTGGATGAATCCACACCATCCTTCAAGGTCACAAATGCACATGGTGACTCCCCCCACTGCTCGTCTGGTCGAGCCACCACCGAGACCTCCAGCACCGCGGGATGCACGTACAAGATGCTCTCCACCTCCAAGCTACTAATGTTCTCGCCCCCCGAGATGATGATGTCCTTTGCGCGGTCCTTCACCTCTATGTACCCATCCGGGTGCTTCACACCTATGTCACCGGAGTGGTACCAACCATGGGCGAAGGTCTCCGCATTAGCCTTTGGGTTTTTCAGGTAGCCCTTCATCACAACATTGCCTCGCATGACGATCTCCCCAAGCGTGGTACCGTCGGCAGGGACTGGAGCCATGGTTTTCAAGTTAACCACATCGAGGCCTTCCAGGCCGACGTAGCGAACACCTTGACGGGCATGGACACGTGCTCGTTCGTCGAGTGGAAGAAGGTCCCATTCCGGCTTCCATGCGCAGACAACGGAAGGGCCAAAGGTCTCCGACAAGCCATATGTGTGGGTGACGCGGAAACCAAGCTTGGTCATTTCCGCCAGCAACGTTGGGGGCGGAGCAGCGCCAGCAGTGTTGACGCGGACAAGACGGGGAAGAGGGAGGATAGCATCGCTTGGAGGCGCATTGACGATCGAGTTTAGGACAACCGGGGCTGCACAGAAGTGAGTGACACCTTGCTTGGCTATGGCGGAGTATACGGCCTTGGCTGTGACCTAAACATGAAAGACCACAAGGAAATAAAAACACAAAGTGATTAAGCTTTAAGAATCCAAAGCTGCTTTTCTCAGCAAAAACAAAAAAACTTTCCTCAGTCTAGAACTATGTGGACTTTTTATTTTAGATGACTGATGAATTATACGATATTACCTTGATAAACGAAACATGAACAAATCATTCAGTCCACCAGTAAATAAGGCAGAATAGAGTTTAAAAACTAAAATTTAATTTTCCCTGACAAAAAGAAAGAAATTGCAAGCAAGTAAATAGAAACAGGACACAGAATTCACTGGTACAGTTCTTGTTGTCCTACCTGAATGGATCTGTTTTATGGTCTTGTGGAATCTTTTTGTGCTACTACCAAAGAATGTCCAGATATGTTGTATCATCAGGAAAATAGTTCAGGCCACATTTGTATATTATTTAGTAGGAACATGAGGATTAAAATATCAACTCAATATACTCATTAACAGAACTAGTTAAAGCATAAAAGGCAAGTATAAGTCTTACTCACATAAGATGCAAAAAAACAAAAATCAAAATCAAAAACAGCAAATTGCAACATTACCTGGCGAAGGCATATGCTAGTTCCACAAAGGGCAGCCATTGTCCATGCATAACACCAACCATTGCAATGGAACATGGGCAGAGTCCACAAGTAGACAGCTCCCTCATTCATCTCCCATATTAAAGCACAACTTAGAGCCATAAGATAAGCACCCCTGTGGTGCAACACCACTCCTTTGGGACTAGAAGTTGTCCCAGAAGTGTAGCCTAGTGCAATGCTTTGCCACTCATCCTTCGGAGGCTTCCAAGCAAAATCAGGGTCCCCAGATTCCAAAAATTTCTCGTAATCAATAGCACCTTTTCTCAAAGCATGATCGAGAGCCCTGGGATCACATGTTTCATCACCTACAACAATGAGGAGAGGAGGCTTGAAAGCACCTTTCTTTTCATCTGCTTTGATCTTCAGAGCTTCCTCTGCCAAAGTGAAAAATTCCTGGTCCACTATAACCACTGTTGCCGAGGAATGGCCCAGTAAGAAGGCAATGGTAGCAGCATTCAGCCTAATGTTGACAGTGTTCAAGACAGCTCCGGCCATTGGAACTCCAAAATGAGCTTCATAGATAGCTGGGATGTTTGGTGCAATTACAGCCACCTAACAAAATGAATAACATATATGATTTAAGCTAAATATTTATTTGACCACTGCATCTAAATGGTTACCATGAGAAGCAGATGGATGCTTTGAGGTGAAGCAACCATATATTTCTACTCCCTACAGATGGACTCCTTACAAGTTGTTAAAGTCCTCGATGGATATTTCCATGTTCAAGAATCTTATTGTCTGGAAAGCTAACCAAACATGTTCACTCTGGACTTTGAACTGAAGGAAACATGTGAATATGTTTAGAACGATCATCTGCAGATTACTCCAAAGCAAGAAGAGATGTTTTATTCTGTGAATTGCATGAGGCAGATTTATCGCTATCATTTATGTATATGTTAAAAGAATTTTAATGACAATGATATGGATCAACCATCATGATATGTTCTACCCTTTTTTCTTTTAATCTAGTAAAGTAGATGAGCAAATCTAATCCCATTTCTAAGTGTATGACATAAAAATAAAATACAAAGAATGAATAAAATATATGTAGGAAAATTGTTGGCGTGAGTGTAAAAAAGGAAATAAATAAATTAAGAGCAGAATATTATCCGCTAATTCGGAGTGTACTTCATCCACGCACATCTGATATCAAAACCTCCCATATAGGCATATACAACCATAACCACGACAAACCAAATCAGTAAGAGGAAGGCGAAAGAATCCAAGTCTTAAACATATCAAAAGAATAATCCCTTATCCAGAATAATCAAATCCACATCTATTAATTCCTCAACACGAGTATCCAAGGTCCGTACATGGAACCCTAACCAGGAGAAATCAGAGCGATCTAAACATTAAATCCAAACAGTAATAAAAAGAAAATAACACACATATTAACAACCACACAGATCATTTTTATGCATCCCGTTCTATACCCGACCATAGAACAGAGCAAGAAGAGTAAAGGATCCGAAATTCTAAGAAAAATCAAAAGAATAAACTAAAAGCTGGAATCTAATTTTCCTGATTCTAAAATCAACTGCAGACATACACATCCAATCCTCAGCACGAATCTTAACGCTTAAAAACAACCGGATCAGACAAGGCAATTAAAATAGAACAGGAAATGAGGAGAGAGAATAGATTCGAAAGAAATGAATAGGCAATAATAAAAAAAAGTAAAGAAATCATCAAAATAAATCTGCTGTATGAATCACTGATCCAAAACAAAGTCAGCCATACGAATCCGACGGTCGACGCGACGCTCAGAGGGTCCTGTGTGCATAGGACCACGAAAAGGCAAAGGAATCTCAAGTAGAAAAGGAGGAGAGAGAGAGAGAGAGAGAGAGTCACCGTGCATCCGGGGCCGATCGAGCGAGCGGCGAGGGCGGAGGCGAGGCGGCGGCATCGCCGGTAGGTCTCGGCCCAGGTGAAACGCCTGGGGCCGTGGACGACGGAGAGGCGGTTCGGGTGGACCAGGGCGGCCCGGTCGAGGAACCAGAGCGGCGTGAGGGCCATGTAGTTGGCGGGGTTCTTCGGCAAATCGTCGATGTCCGCCTCCATCTCGCTCCCCATCGTCATGCCGGCCGACCGGTTGACAAATCCCAGACACCTACCTACACACCCACACAGACGGACGGCGAGAGAAGCAAAGTAGAAGGAAGAATGATGAGAGAGCGGAGCTCGGCGGGTATTTATACACGGGGCGAATTGGAAATGACACGCGTAGGTAACCGACCCACATTCGACCTCCGTTGCTAACCGGACCGTGTGTGTCAAATAGCGAAGGGGTGTGTGATGCTGCAAAACAGCAAACAGCAAACAGCAAACAGCAAACAGCAAACAGCAAACAGCTTTCGCATCTGCTATCGCGTCGTCACCCTAGTGATCAATAAGTAGTCAGATGAGGCGAACCCTTAATTGTCTCATATTTAAATAAAATTTCTTGTAAATTATATAAGTTGCTATGTGAAAATTATGCATAGAATTTTAAATTTTGTTTTCTAGTTGCGCAATGAAAAAGATAAATAAATAAATAAATGAAAACTTATCTTCTTCAAATAATATAAATATTATTTATTTGATTATTCTTGATAAGATTATATTTTCTTCGTTATTAGTTTTTTTCGTTTTCTTCTGCTTTAGGTTTATAAAAAGATGTTAGAATATGAGAGATATCCAATTGATCAATTAAAATAATAGTTTCTTTTTTCGATATTTCAAATGCCTGAGACCCTAATGACTATGGTGGATTTCATTTAATTTATTTTGTTATTGTCTTCTCTTCTATCCTTTTTTCTTTCATCTATTATCAGAAAAGATTTTTTTTTTGTTTAAAGAATATTTACATAGCGTGGCAAAACCCAAAGCGTTCTTAATTTTGTTACATATATTGATTTAAAAAAAGGGGAAAAAAAGTGAACAAAGAAAAAGAGGGAAAGAATTATCTGACTAAAAAAAAGAAAGAATATCGAACACCAAATTATTTCGTAAGCCAAATATGAAAATTTATCTTAGATGAAACACCATTTGTTTGATTGACCTTAATGTGATTATATTTTTTTTTCTTATTATTTATTCTTTTTAGAACCTTATATATTTATTTGTGACTTCATCCGATGGCTCTTGTGGGCTCCACATGTGGGCCCCTTCTCAGCGGCGCTGTCGCTTTTCCGGCCGCTATAGGGCGGTCAATGATTTTTCTGCTTTTTTGCGGGACCCGCCAGAGCAGCGAGGACAGCGGTGTTCGCTGGTCGGCGGAGACACACGTGACACGTTGCGATCACATTGGACGCAAGTCGAGAATATAATTAATAATAATAATAATTATTATTATTATTTCTTTTTTTAACGCTCTGCGGGGCCCGCGACCGCAGTAGCTTGCCGGGGAAGATGGCGGGCGATGAGTTGTCAGCGAGACTTATCCTAAGTTAAATGATTGGGGCTTTGATCCTTCGTTTGACTAAGCTTACGGGATGTGTATGACAGCCATCACATTATACCATACTAATATTAACCTCCAAATTATGTGAAGCCAATCCTTAATACTATCTTTGATGGCTACGCATGAAAGGTAAAAGTCAAATTTCTCTCAATAATCCTCCCGAGTGAACTTATCCGATCTGTCTCTCTCGTCCGGTATGCATGGATGCATTGTTTAAGTGGGTCACGTGTCCGGCGTTCTTGGATTAATTAATGAAAAATGATAAGCATAATTCTGTATAAGTTTAATAAATTAATCACAAATGATTCCAACCAAGATTCATATAAGAGTCAACCATGGCTCGTTGTATTCCTGTGTACCCAATGATCCTGCCCATACCACTGCGGGACCCACATTATTGCCTGGTGATACGGTGTGTAGTACCTTTGGAGGGGACCTTTGGTACATGTACTCGAGCACTCTTTGCTCGATCGTGTACGTTGACTGTGCCTCATCCGAGTGAGAAGATAAGATAGCAAATCGGAAACGATGGATGTTCCATCACTCGGTCTGACGCAACCACATGCCACAGATTCGTCGGCATGTCTCGAGTCCGATGTGCCTAAGACCGCACACGAAACACCATTAGTGGGTCGGATCGAGCTGGTAACATCACGTTGAATAGGGTCAAGTCGCATGACATCAGATCTACTCGACGGCGGTGGGGGCCACAAACGGGCCCCACCCCATGCCCTCTGGTGTTCATCATGGAACCCACGCCTGGCGTTTACCCAGTAATGTCACCGGTGACGATTGTTGTGTGGCATTTAGTGGAGAGGGGCGATTGAGTTGCCATAGGACGGGCTCAATCCATTCGATTCAGCACATGGTTTCTGAGACAGGACATAACTGGTACATTGAAGAATGACAAGTCCCTAATCGTGTCTTGGTTCATCAAACATTGGATTTGATTCGGAACATAACTTCAACCATCTGATATGTGTTCTTCATATGATATTCATGAAGAGAAAGAAAAACTTTCATCGATTTGTTGATGTGCATATGAGTCCAAAACAAGTTATTATAATTATATATATATATATATATATATATTATTTTTATTAAATATGATTAAATATTATTTCTTGATGAATGTTATAATATCCTATCCCTTGACAGTATGATATAAGAGTCAATTTGTGAGAGGAATTCTTTCTTTTTTTTCACCCGTCATATTCATCTATCTCGGATTACTAACTTATGTATTAAAGGAATTTGAGTTATAAAATCTTTTTTCAACTTCGATTTTCATGTAAGTAACACATTGAGAGCTCGATGTTTTCACTTCGATCGTACGTTGAATAATTCTGCATACACAGGTCTAAACCATATCGGGTTAACTAAAGCATCAACGATATCTTACTATAACATTTTTAGCACCAGAAGAAGCCCGATATCGTTATAATGCTCAATGAATGCTCAAGTGAAGAGACTTTAACCTCGACCTATAATACGTTCACCCATTGGAAGGAAGCAACCACTCATTTCACACATCGGTGCATCCACCTCGACACAAATACCAATACGATACTAGTGCATATTCAATGATCAATGTCTCTAATCTCTAGGGACGACCCCGAGCCATCTACTCGTCCTCATCGAGGTGTTCTTAAACCTTACTCAATAAGCACATATGTTAATATGCATAATATAAGTCATCGCACCACTTTTACCTTACTTAGTCTAATAGGCATTACAACCAACTTAGACATAATCCTCGGCTCTATCGTCATTGGCACCTATTGATTTCCCCAACCGACATAGTGCCAACGTCCTAAGACCACCCTAAGCCTGTCGAATCATTGGTCGAGGGGCCACTTCAGTCCCCAATTATGAAATTCAATGAATCGCACCATATTCATACTTTCTTCGTTTCTACAGTTCATACTTTTTCTTAACTAGTCCCTTAGAAACCATGTTGTTTGGTATTTAAAAGTTAAGTTTAGTTTTAATTTCTAAAGATTCTAAATTTAGGAGGACAGAGAATAAGTACAAAAATAAATATTTAATAATTATCAAAAATGCTAACCATAAAAAGCCAATAGCTTCAATATTGATATGAAAAATGCATGAATCTATCTGTAATAGGTAAACGCTTGTGAAGCTGTTTTCAACAAAAAGGTTTGGATTATGGGGATAACCGAGATATACCAAAGACTACGTTATCCATGTGAACTAGTTTCTATTCTAGAATTAGGAAACTGATAAGCACATTTAGTTATTACCTTAGGATATTTTTTCCATATCAATTTATTATTACAAGGGTGTTAGGCAATATCAATAGACTCAATGGTTGAAACCAGCTGAGGCATGCATATATCTAATAGCAACCAAGTATTCGAGCTATCATATCAACCTTCAACTTATTTTCTGAACCCTACCCTTGAAGAGATTCATACTGTTGTTAGATCCATGGGATTTGGAAAGAGCCCTGATATGATTTTAGAGGAAAAATTTTATAAATTTTACTAGCCTTCACTGTCTTCGTTCCATATAACTGTGTACCAACATTTTCATAGATATAAACAATTACCAATAAATTGGATATAATTTTTTTTAACTTTCATATCTAAAACTAAAAATGACATGCATATTATTCAATATCATTAAATATGCTAGTCATAGGTGTTCTACAAGCTAATAACGTGAGTGATGACACGTGTGACATAATACATATTCTTTTTGCTCATTATATTATTTGATATTTTATCACTTTATATTGCTTGTTATATATATGCATTGTGATGTTCAAATCTATGCAATGAGAATTAAATCATGATGAAATCACAATAATAAGACTGATTCGCCTTTAAACACAGATCCTAAATAATCCTAGTCATAGGTTACTCGAGAGAGACATAAAGATAACTGGATATACTGGTGTATTGTATACCCGTACAAATGATAGAGGCGGTTGGTCTCATAGCTGCTCGTGCAGGGATACTAGGATTACAATGCAGGTGTTAATTAGATAATGAATTTACTGATTGATTCACTCACGGAATGCTTAATGGTTAATGATAACTCGTTGTCATACAGCGATTCTGTTATCCTAGTGGTGGATCTGGTCCTTAGACTTGAGACACTAAGGATGTCTTATATAAGTACTCTACTCTTCGATACTAGACTTAATTTGGAAGTTTTAGATTTATCATAACCAATCATCGAGAGTGATTGCCAACCTTACGAGAACTATTAAGTGTCGATAGAGGATCATCCATTCTCAGTGTCATAAGAGGAATATCTCATTTGCTCTTGCTCAGACAAATCTTTGGCTAGGATAATTTGGATTGAGAGAGAAAGAGTTCTCTGGGAGAATACAATTAAAGTGAGACTCGAGTAGAAATTGTATGGGCCTGACAGTACCATGCCCGATATATGGTCTCTGGGGTATTAGATGGATGAGAGACTATAGATACATGATAATTGAGAATAGATATGTCCAAAGGATTAGATTTTCTTGTATCGTCTAGGGACTACGGCGTAATCGTCTAGTACGTCCATAATCGATGAGTCGAGTGAATTATTATGGAGATAATAATTCACCGATCCAAAAGGAGTTCTGATAGGTATGACTCACGACCAGCTCGATATTGGGCCTAGAGGGTCACATACATATAGTAGACATTACGACGAGTAGAGGTTCGGATATGAGATATCTGTCGAACCCCATATCT